AAGGAGGGGTTGGAAAGTGGTGAGTTAGCGTACAATACATTAACCTTGACGACGGTGAAACTGTAAAGAAAAAACTCTGCAGGATGTGTTGAATGTTTCTTAGAACAGGCTTTGCTTTTATCAATCAGCACTGATTGAAATCCATTACGCAATCATGTGGAGATGGTTGTGGAAATGCTATTCTAGCATGAATGAAGGTTCAAGTGGTTGTTCTGTAACAATTATAGAAGGTCAATTTTTCAAAGACGTTCTTTGTCTAAAGATTAAGTGATTAAAATAACGCAGTGATGCCCAAAGCAGTAATACATGAGATGAAACAATCCCTGGGAGCCAGGTTTTGGAAAGACTTCAAGCTTCTGGATCTTCAATCACATCACATTGAATGCTTTGAGCACCTTGAGCTTAAAGACTCGACCCTCAGCCCAGCAATAACCAAGCACCATGGTAACGCATGGTGTTAAACAAAGGCAATAAATTGCTGCATCGGTCTGTACTGTAGCATCCAACATATCTTTTGTCAGATTTTTCTCTGCAATATGCAGTGAGGTTCAAAGTCTCAGAACACATTGGAAAGCTGGGAATCAAAATATTATTTAAACTTTTTTTTAAAGATTTTGAAGAATTTAAACCAAAAAGAAATATTAGATATTAGAAATATTTAAGATTCTAAATTATTACAAGGTCAATAATGAAATAACCACATTTGTGACACTGACATTGCGTTTTAATGAGCTTTAAAAAAGAGTTTTAAAGTGCGATTACAAAAATTAAATGACCATGTAAACAAGCTTAGAACAAACTTGAGTTCATGCAGTTCAACTGCATGAAATTTCAGAGTGAAACATACAAAATAATATGAGTATTGCAGCAAGAGGTTATGTGAATTTGTTTCATTATGCTGGGTATCTAATATTCTCATTAACTGATTTGTATTGTTGTTTTTCTTAAGGTTTTTTCAATACAGATCACCACTTACGCGTCAATTAAGACTTTCCTACATCAGAATATCAAGCCTTGCACAATAGCACAAGCATCAGAACAAACCCTCTAGCCTTCTGAATTTCATGGCCATCAGTGCTAGAGAGTGATTGACATAACCTGGCAACATAAGTACAGAAAGACAGTCTTCCAAACTCTGCTTTCAAGTGCATTTTGTGTATTCAAGGCTTTACTATTCACCATAACAAAGGAGCTCTCCACTGACACTTTCCATGCAGTCATGCCTGAACTGTGAGCAGGGAAAAATTTTGGAATATGTGTTTTCTCCTGCCATGGGGCTATAAAGTTTGACAACTCATCCAGAAGCATTCTGGAAATAAAAAAAAAACGGAACTTGGGTTGTGGACTGGACACATGCTTTTTTTTTTACGTCCACATCACTTCTCAGAAATCCTTCTCTTTGGAAATGGCCCAAGGATTCAAACGCACCTCTTAATCATGGCACTCTTTCACTCGACAAGGTGTAAAAAACACCTAGGTGACATGAAATTCTGCCTGTGGTATGAAAAGAGAGCAAACACAAACTCTAGTCTCTCATATTTTTGGTCACAGAACAATTTCAGTGGAACAATTGTTAGGAAATTATAGGAGAGCTAGGAATGTAAGAATAATAAAGATTTTTGCTAGACTAGTAGGAAATCATCTCCAGCTGGACTGTAAATTCTCAGTCAATCTTTATAACATATGCAGATTATCAATTGAGCCCTATTATTTTGTTAGCCTGTCTGGAGGGAATGAAACTAAAATGAAAGCGCTGTCATTATTTACTCACCCTCATGTCGTTCCAAACCCACAAAGACAAAAGGCAATTTTTTGTTATATCTTCACACAACTCTAGCCATATGTTTCTATGTCTTTTAAAATCAGAAAATGACCATTAAAATATCATAAATGTAGGTTTTGGAAATATTCCTTTAACGCTCTCATGAGACATGTGAATGTTCAAGCAAACCTCTGTGCATGTTTTGCTTTGCAGCTCTGAAGGATCAACATCTTAATTTTTACTGAAACATACATGCATAAATAAAGTTTTTATGTGATGCTTACTATCTAAAAGACAGGAAAAAAAGCAGGAATAAACATTTTGATCAAAAGTAATTAGTACCATAGACCGTCTCATATGGGCAATGTTTGTCACCACATTAATGAGTAATTTTGAAATCATCTCAAAACAGATTTGCTTCTATAAATATGCAAAAAAGATCTGGTGCTAGAATTTGACATTTTGAATGTTTTTCTGAGACCTCGATGCGGTTTTCATAAGTGATGAAATGTGACAGTGGCAGTGTTCTCTCCTGCACACAGCTCTCAGACACGCACTATTCCAGTGAAATGAAAAAAAAAATCCACTGACATGAGATTCACTCTTAGTTTATTAAAACAAAAACTTACGTCAGGGTGGATAACAACCTCAAACAAACTTTTTATGGTTTAGACTGTGTTCACTTGTGAGCTTGATCTGTGCATATTTCTCTCGATTCAGACAAAATGACTTTTAAACTGGAGAAAACAATATTATGGATAGAGGACTTGTATTTTAGTAGGAAACAATGGTTTGAAGTTAAAAATGTCTTGATGGATCGCAATAATTCACAATTTTTGACTCACAAGACATAATTGATGGAGTCGTGTTCATTATTTGTGGATTATTGTGTTTATTGTTTTATCAGCTGTTTGGACTCTAATTCTGACAGCACCCATTCACTGCAGAGGATCAATTGGTAAGCAAGTGATATAATGCGACATTTCTCCAAACTTGTTTCAATGAAGAAACAAACCCATTTACATCTTGGATAACCTGAGGGTAAGTACATTTTCAGCAAACTTTCATTTTTGGGTGAACTATTGCTTTAATGTGTGCCCTGACAAAATATTAACCATTGTGATTACCAAGCTCAAACCTATAAAAGCCATTTGTAAAAACAATCTTGAAACAAATTACACAGATTTGAGTGCACATAGATGATATCAGTGGTAGGCCTATATTATTTTGCCAGCACTTGTTTAATGACATCTCCTGAGATCTAAACAAACTCGTTAAGGAAGAGACACAAGCCAAACTAACCACACTAGAAAATAATCACAATCAATTTTCTTTTCAAGAACAGACCAATACTGGACATCTGTTTTCCACTGTACAACTCACAAACAAGCAGTAAAAATATCAGAATATTATGCAATTCAAAGATTCTTTAAATTACCAGGGTATACTATCAATGCAATTAAGCCTTGCACGCTACACCTTTAAAACGTTACGTAATCTGACTTTGAAACACACAAAGAATCCAACTTCATTCATTCATTGCTATGGAAACGATGGTGACTGTAGCAGAATGAAACCTGAACTGATGGGTGCAGCGTCTGTGTGTGTCATGTGTCCAATTGAACCATATCAAGTTCCTTCACTGGTCCATGATGACAGATTCCTGTGGTGCTCTGGCTAGCACAGCTAGACATTATTTTCACATTATGAGCTTGCATCTATGCATACCATCTGTTTTGATGCTTTCACAGCATTTCCACAAACCATATTGATATTCAGCATTGTTGATTTGCAATAGGATCCGATACCTCACAATATTATACACAGTGTTCATTTTTTTAACTGCATTATGAACAACTGCATGATTTCCTTCCTGAGATAATCACACTAATTTCTGGATGATTTGTGTTTATATTGGATAGAAAACTTTTTTTATTAACGCGACTGTAGCGCAGGAGTTCTCAAAACAAGAGTAACGGTTCCAGTAACAAGCTACTTTTACCAAAATGTAGAGATGTTTTGCACAACAACACAGCATCACTGTTTTAGCGCACTTGAATTACTGTGGTCTTTTTGCCTCATGTGCATGCTCAATATAGCATCTAAAGTAATGTTAAGTCAGATTAATCGTAGTGAATCAGTTCGTTCAAACGATTTGTGTATATGAGCAGGTTCAAAAAATATCTATAAATATAAACATATTTGTAATGGTTTTAAAGATTTTTTAATAATTAAAAAAAATGAATTTAAATAATTTAAAAATAATAAATAACAATAACAAAAATTCAAAAAGTGTATTCACCTTTCCATGTGAAATATTTTAAATCTCCTTTGTAATGTAAAATATTGAATTAAATCCTTGATTGTTGCTTTCACCTTGATTATATGAATTATGGTGCTTCTAGTTTTATTAGATACATTTATCTATTTGGTGTTCTCTTGGAGGTTTTCAAATTTTAATAAGCCACGTACCCCCAGAGGGATCCTACTTCTGATAGATGCCTCATGATCAAAAAGATTTTTTTCCAATTCATAGATGAGTATGTTTTCAACTTGTGTTGAAGCATGTGCTCCATTAATGAGTTAACATTAATGAGTTTTAAACAAGGTAAAGTTTGATGCAATCCACCCATAATCCATAATCCATAACCATCCATTACAAGAAGCTAGAAATGCCCAGACCTGTTTGTTATTCATGGCCATGATTATTTGAGACCAGCACATAAAAGCCTACATCACGAATACTTATTTATCTATCCCTTCTTAACCTATATATTTATATACAGAACAGCTTTCTCAGAACTGCACAGAAGCAGCGTCTTTACTATAGCAAATGTATGCAGATGGAATTCATGTTCTGCAAAAGTCCCTAATTTAAGGTTACAAGGCAGTGCGTCCTCAAAGCACTGACTCACTGGTGTAGGATGACAGATGAGTGTTCGCTGAATAGACAGCCATGATCAAACTCCAGGATAAATTCTGGGCAAGTGTACCTCTTTTTTGAACAGTTACACAACTGAATGTCTATGAAGAACCTCGCGGCAAAAGCTCAGCAACTGTGGAACTGTCAAAACACTGTATGCACTACATCAATATCCGCCTACAAAGGTGGATGTGCTAAGAGTGCAAAAAACAAGCAACGAAGGGCACATTTATATCTAGGACCAATATGGAATTTCTTATAGTATCTATAGCTGAGCTCTATTTGACAGCAATATGAAACATCTCTACCACTCACATTAATGTTCCTGAGTTTATTCTTGCCCCTCTCTATTCGGCTGAGGAGTCTGTGATGTTCTCTAGGTGTTTGCTGGAGAAGGCGGTCATCGATGGATATGGTCTTCCTAAGAGGCACTCTATCCCTCCAAGGCTCTGGGACACGGCTCTCTGAATCCACACTCCGAGGAAAGCGCTTCACTTCCGACAGTGACGATGTCTCCCCTCGGTCATGGTCACGCAGCACTGACCCTGAAAGAGAGAAACAGACACCTCAAGTGATAACTGACACCCAGAGAGAAAGAAAACACCGGAGAATGAGGATAGGACCAAAACCTCCCCTCACAAGAACGCACATTTTGAAGTGTTTGTGTTTTAAAATAAAGGATTCACAAAAATATTTAGGCCTAAATTTAGGATTTACGTATATGAATTGCATTTAAACTTCCTATCTCTTTAAACAGTCTTAACATAAGCTTAATGTGATGTACATACATATGGAAGCCTGTTTCTGCCATGGGATTAAAATAAATAATAATAATGAAAATAAAGTTGTAATTGTTACTTTTTATCTCACAATTCAAACTTTTGTCCATGCATTTATGAGTTTATATCTCATAGTTCTCTTTTTTTTTCAATTCTGAGAACAAAAAAGTCAGAATTGAGAGATAAAAAGTTTAATTTTTTTTTTGCACTTTTTATATTTATATTATGTGGCAGAAACTAGCTTCCCTTTCAGTCGGTCACTCTCGACGTCACGTTGGATGACCGACGAATTGGGATCTCATTTAGAGAGACCAATCTACTTCGATTGTAAACTAAACGAGCCAATGCACTACAAACTACAGTCAAGCACGCTCTTCGTGGGCTCTCGTGCAGCGGCGGTGGTTTTCCCGTGTCGAGTGGGTTGCACACATCAGGCTGCACTACCCCCTGTGTGTGTTGCAGACGGCCATCTCCCCTGTGCGCTTCAGCACACTAAAAGAGCAATTTCCATCTAAAAGAGCTTCACGGGTGGAACGTCTTTTTAAAGACGTCTTACCATCCGTGTTTCTGGGTGCGGTCGTTACCTGGCGCCGGGTGATGGTCACGATCGCTGCCTCTCGTGTCTGGGCATGAAGCACGCTGAGGTGGCTTTCGTGGATGACTCATGCTCCCATTGCGGGGGTATGACCATCTCGGAGTTGCAGACCACACTCCGTTACCTGCAAGGGGGGCGGACTTATCTGGGGATGAAGATCCGTCAGTGTTGCTGCCCTCTGGCCGGTCAGCGGTGCCGGATACGGACCCGAAAAGGATGGCTATGCTTTCCCGGGCCGCCGAGAGTGTCAGGTGTGGAATCTTCCACTGCGTCCCGAACCCTCAAGGTTGGATGATTGGTTTCTCGGGGTGGCTCGCGCTGGTTCTCAGGGCCCCACCCCAGTGCCTTTCTTCCCAGAGGTGCATGATGAGATCGCTGGGTCATGGACGGCACCTTTCACTGCCAGAAACCGGCCCAGTGGCTCATCTTCCCTCACCACCCTTGATGGGGGTCCAGCGCGGGGGTACACGGGAGTTCCCCAGGTGGAGCAGTCGGTTGCGATGCAATTGTGTCCAAATGCCGCTACCACTTGGCGGGGCAAACCGTTGCTCCCCTCCCGGGCCTGTAGGCACTCGTCTGCCCTGATCGGCAGTGCTTATACGGCCTGTGGAGAAGCTGCATCTGCCTTACACGCTTCGGTGGTATTGCAAGTGCACCAGGCCAAGGCACTGAAGGACTTGCACGAGGGTGGTCACGACCCGGAAGTTCTCAAAGAACTCTGCACCGCAACGGACCTCGCGCTACGAGCGACGAAGGTTACAGCGTGGTCTCTGGGTCTGGGTGCGATGTCCACTATGGTGTTCCAGGAGTCCCATCTCTGGCTGTGTCTGGCCGTCATGCATGAAACGGACAAGATATGATTCTTGAACGCCCCCGTGTCCCAGACCGGCCATTTCGGCGACACGGTGGAGAACTTCGCCCAGCAGTTCTCCGCTGCCCAAAAGCAGACTGAGGCCATCAGGTACATCCTGCCC